GATACTCGTCGCTTATAGTATATATAATAAGATAAATTTGAAAATTTAACATTTTTATTACGCGAGATTTCGAGAACATATGTCTCTTCGTCAGGCGACAACAACAGAATGGTTGTAAATATATATATAGTTATATATAGAGCTATATATTTATATATATATAGTTATATATTTAATATAATAAATTCAAATAATAGGTAGAGGGTGTTTAAGTTTTAATACGCGAGCTTTCGAGACGTGCATCTCTTCATCAGGCTCTACCTATTAGTTGTATTAATTTTGTTTATTATCTACATGGGTGTTCGTGTGGGATTTCACTTCTATATATATATATGGATATATCAGCATCTTGAAAAGACAAAATCTAATAATATTGTAAAAGTTAAGGTGCACTAAAATAGCATCATGCAAACATGACGGAGTCGGCTGGTGCGTGAGTAAATCAGCAATATATAAACTGATAAAAAACACCAAAATTTTATGCTAGACTAGACTTCATACAATATATACCTCAGTGTACGACTAGTGTGCATGTGCATTTACATGCTACTCTATTACCTCTCACATACCATCCAGGAAGGGCATACCGATCCAGTGATCCAGAAATACCGATTTCTAAAAATATATAAAAACCTATGTTTCCCTGTTTTAATTTTTAAAAGCTATAGTATGCAATTGAATAGCCTAACGGCTGTTCTAAGAGGAAGGATTTCCAATTCAACGTACCAAAATTCAAGTTCTAAACCAAAATACCGATTTCTAATAAATATAAGAACATATGTTTCCCTGTTTAATTTTTTAAAGCTATTTAAAGCAATTTAATCGCCTAAGGGCTGTTCTCAGAGAAACCATTCAAATGCATACAGGGTGCCTTGAATCGCACATCGGGACGTCAACTTCAGGCAATATCATCCGCTGCAACCCTTCTACATCATTTGCTAGCACTACATGCTACTCTATGACCTCACACATAACATTCATGTCGCAAAAATACCGATTACTAAAAATATATAAGAACCTATGTTTCTCTGTTTTATTTTTTAAAGCTATAGTATGCAATTTAATAGCCTAAGGGCTGTTCTCAGAGAAACCATTCAAATGCATACAGGGTGTCTCGAACCGCACATCGGGACGTCAACTGCAATATCAGGCGCTACAACCCCTTCTACATTATTTTCTAGCACTAGAATGCTAGTTACGCCGTCACGTTGAATTCTGACATAATCCGCTGATGCAACATCATGCACATCATGCAACATCATGCAACATCATGCAACATCATGCAACATCATGCAACATCATGCAACACCATGCAACATCATGCACATCATGCAACATCATGCACATCATGCAACATCATGCAACACCATGCAACATCATGCACATCATGCAACATCATGCAACACTTCATAATCATGCGCGAACTTCTACCGCGCAAAGAAACGACGAGACGAGTGTCAAGGTTTTGAGAGCGACTCTTCAAGACTATAACAACACTTCTACTGATTAAGCCTAGCGCACACACCCGAGCAAAACGGGGAATTTTGTTTTCCAGCGTTTTCGTCCCGAGCAAGCGCACACACGACACCCGACACAGCCACTGATCTCTACTATACTAACTCTATCTATACTACTAATTTATTAATACTATTCTATCTCTTCTAGGTTAGTATAGTAGATATCAGTGGACACAGCACACAGCTGAGCAAAACATACAGAAACACTGCGTGCAGCGCCGCTGTCACATGACATCAAAAATAGCCATCCAATGGACATCCAATTTTGTGTGTCATGTGATATTTTTAAGGATATTGATTGGAGACCGTCTGTGGCGTTTCGCTGTGTAGCAGAACGATTGACGCACACACCCGAGCAAAACGTACGCTCAGGCGAAAACACGCTCCGCGAATCAAACATTGCTTGTTAGGCGAAACATGCTCAGCTGAGCAATGTTTTTAAAATGTTTTTAGCGTAAAGCATAACGCACACACCCGAGCGAAACACCTGAACGTGGAGCAAAACATGTTTCGCTCGATGTTCGTGGCTGTGTGCGGATTCCCGAAACAAAAAACATTGCTCAGCTGAGCGTGTTTCGCTGAACAAGCAATGTTTGATTCGCGGAGCGTGTTTTCGCCTGGGCGTACGTTTTGCTCGGGTGTGTGCGTCAATCGTTCTGCTACACAGCGAAACGCCAAAGACGGTCTCCAATCAATATCCTTAAAAATATCCCATGACACACAAAATTGGATGTCCATTGGATTTGGATGACTATTTTGGATGTCATGTGACAGCGGCGCTGTACGCAGTGTTTCTGTATGTTTTTCTCAACTGTGTGCTGTGTCGGGTGGCGTGTGTGCGCTTGCTCGCCGAGCAGAACGCGAAACGCAGGGAAACAAAATTTCGTGTTTCGCTCGGGTGTGTGCGTTGTGCTTAATGCTCTATGCTTTAATTCTATATGCCTACAGTCATCTCTATTCTAACGTCTGTGTATAATGACACGCAGCCATAAACCGCTTATATTAGCAATGCGTTGGTTTTATACAAACTATTACCTCTATAACGTAACTACGAAAAACGCTTGCCATACAAACTAGGCACATATTATATTCCTATATCCCACATCCAATATCTTGCGTGTATATATATATAGGGTCGGCAATACGTTATGAACGCAGGTATAAAGAGATAGACTATAAAGACGAGCAATCGCGAAAGCGGGTTATATAATATCACGAGTGAGAGAGGGGGTTATATAATAACAAGAGTCCATAATAGGAAATCATACTCATAAATGTCATACTCTTTTTCTATTATGGACTCTTGATAATATATAACCCCCCTCTCTTTCTTCTCTCTCTTTATATATTATAGAGACAGAAAATGCGCGCGCGGGGCGGGGGCAGAGCTGGAGAGAACTGGGGAGAAGAGAGAGAGAGAGAGAAAGAGAGAGAGAGAGAGAGAGAGAGAGAGAGAGAGAGAGACGAGGGAGAGAGAGCGACGCATCTGCATTAATATTTTCGTAGCGATTGAGGCTAATAGCTGTCTAAACGTGCGAGAGAAGCACGTGTACAAATCTACACCGACCGGACGAGATTACTAGCTAGACGTGCAATACAGGTCGAATAAATGCGGCATGCAGACATGCAACGGGCGGGAAGGTAAGAAAACAGTTGCCATCCCTCAGCTAGTAAAATAGAGCCTATAGCGTGTTGTGGTGAATGTTCTAGAATAGCCGTGCAACCCACGACAGCGTGCAATGAGATATCGTGCGATACCAACGAGTGTCAGTTAGCACGATGTGGTAAATTATATAGAGATGTCGACGAGATAGGATAGAGCAGGGCGACGTCTATATATAGGGGCAACTAGTGTAATCAATGGGTTTTGTGTGACATCAATGGGTTGCCTTTAGACAGTAACAACTAACGACATTTACGACGTGTACAGGCAATCGCGTTGATTTCGCTTTTCCTTGTAATGCTGGCGAGTCACCAGATACCCTGAAATTATAGGTACGGACGCAAGAGTTTATGCTATTTGGACAGATTAAGGTTTATGTTAAATCTCTATTCCAATGATCAGCAAAATAGTCGACACCACTGGCCGTAATGCGTGCAACGATGTAAAACTACGATATCGTAGCCGCACGTTAGCCTGACACGACCCGACATTAAACTGTCGACGCATGCTCAACGTACGCAGCTCAGGTTTGAACTAAAACGAGTCTTTACTTGCCAAATCACCAGTGAGCTCGTGTGACTAAACGAAGGTATTTTTTCTTAGCACTGCCACGTATGAGCGTTAGGGTAGATGCACGTGTTCATATGTATAGAAGCGAGTGTGGTTTGAGAAGAGGAGGCGAACGGTAAACGCAACTCTGTGATTTACGTCACGTTGTTCACTTCGCCCCGTAAAACTGTATATATCTTCGCAATCAGAGATCGCCGGATGCTGATATAGTTACGTCCGTCGCGTGAGCAGGGTCATTCATCGAGCTCTCTCAATTGACCCGCTGCATGCCAATCAGCTATAAGACGGACTCGACTTATTTACCGTTCCACCCCTGCTCCATCCCATTCCATCGGGAGTGAATGAAAACAGATTTTATGAAACGTTTTTATTCGCTCCCGATTTCATCTTTAGTTTGCTACGCAAGCAGCTCGAGCGGATTTCGTTCGAGAAATAACGACCCGCACACCTCGTATTATACGCGCTCCCTCGTAACGAAGACTGAGCGAGGGGAAATGTTGGTAATGACAAATGATTGATCAGGTTCACATTGGAAGCGGATGTGCTATCACCGTCGACGAATCTCTATTGATAGGTCAATATTCCCATAATCTAGGTCACAAGATGTATATTTCCAAAATTTCCAGCAGCAATTGGGCTATATATAGGCTGCTAGCAGTGTAGCGTAGCGTGTATTGTTGTAACGTATAGTGTGGTTCTGCTAGGTGTGTGCGAGAAATAGGCGTGGGTGGTTGTTACGTAGTAAAATCATTTAATGTAGTGTGTTTCTGCTAGGTATGTGCGAGATATTGGTTGTTATATAGTAAATTTGTGGTGTGTTTTCTCTAAATTTGTTCGAGAAATATGCGTGGGTGGTTGTTATATAAGAAAAATGTAGTGGTGGGGTGTGGTGCAGGTAATGTAGCACGATTTGTTTGATGTTTGAGAGATTTAGGGTTAGAGACTTCAACTTGAAACTTGACTAAGTATAAAGTTTTGACTAGCATGGTAAAGGCTAGAGATCTAAACTTGAACCTTGACTAAGTAGGATGTTTCGACTAGGATGGCGAGGGGTAGAGATCTAAACTTGAACATTGACTAATCAGGAAGTTTCGACTAGGATGGCGAGGGCTAGCGATCTAAACTTGAACCTTGACTAAGCAGGGAGTTTCGACTATGATGGCCTGCTGCCAATAGTCGTACTGTAGCTCCTGACACCTCGCCTGATAGTAGTATACGACCGGTTGCCTTACGTATCGTAGCAGACTCACCGCGCCCGGCTTTACGCATTTCCCGTCGACACAGTACTTTCCGTTTCCGCAGTTCTTGCCGTCCGGGAACGTGCGATCGACGAGTCGGAACAGGTTCTTTCCCGCGCCCACTTTGCAGCGGAACGCGCAGGCAGTCGGTATAGCTAAGGAGAAACGAGAGTAAGAGAGAGAGACGAGAGATGTGGGTGGGCCTTAATGTTCCCGTCCTATCGTTATTGTGTGTTACTCGGTGACATAGTGTGTGTGCATGTGTCTGCTAGTCTGCCACTCTATCTGTCCGCATGTCCGTCCATCCATCCACCCACACATTGACCCATTTACCAATTAAGTCATTCATCAATCTATCCATCCACCCGTCCGTTCATCCACTCATCCATCCACCCATTCGCCCGTCCGTCCGCCCGTCCGTTCGTCTGTCCGTCCGTCGTTCCGTCCCTCCGTCTATTCATGCATCAATCTATGCATCAATCCACTCATCCATCCATCGATATGTACCTATATATACATGCATGTGTGTACCTGCGTGTGTACGTGTCTGTGTAATCAGCGTAGAAACGTTCTACTATGCTAGCTATAATGGAGTTAATGGAGTTAGTTCGTTAAGAGAGTCAGCGAGTGAACGGCGTATGCACTCAGAGATTATTACCCGTCAGATATTATTATCTATGTCCATTAGGTATTTGTGGTTCCTGCCTTCGAGTATGAAACGACAAGAAAGAGCAGGAGAGGGAAGCGAAGGAAGAGAAGTAGTGTGAAGGGGATTAAATAAGAAGATGAAAGGGAGGAGGAGCAGGAGCAGGAGGAGAAAGAGGAGGAGGAGGAGGGGGGAGGGCGATGAGGAGCAGGAAGAGGAGGAGGAGGAGGGGCAGGAGGAAGGGGAGGAGGGGGAGGAGAAAGAGGGGGAAGGCAGAGGAAGGTGAATAGAATAGCATAACGATTACTTACGTTCTTGTCTGCTGTCGACGACGGCGTTTGGATGCCAGCTCTTACAGATGCCTCGCCCGTAGTTCTCAGCAGTCTTTCTTCGTCGGCATACCTTGATTATAGAAGAAACCCAGATCGATAGCGAGTTTACGGGCTGATACTAGAGAGAGGTATTACCGAGATTAGCATTATATTATGCATACCAGCTGCGCGTCGAGAGCGAGCGGCGCTACGCGCCTCGGCATCGGGTGAGGAAATGCCCCGCGTGAGAGTGGAGACAGGGACACGTTGAAACCACGAAAACTGCATAAAATGTGCCAATTTGGCTGCATAGATGCACAAAAATTGCATCAACATTGAATATTCAATTTGCAAGAATTGTCAAGAATTGCAGCGCGGTGCAGTGGGTAGGACTGAATCGATTTGTTTTTGTAAGTTATGTGTGTACGTTGGCGTACGGGGTTACGGCGCATGCACTAGTTTCACCCAATCACGACCAAGTGATAGCAGCAGTAGTAGCAGCAGCAGCAGCAGGACACACCGCAAATATATAAATAGATAGCACCCTATCGCAGATAATCACATTTCATGTATAACAAACGTTATTCTGGTAAGGTGAGAGACGCTTGCTAATTCGTGTAAACGTGTGCTACTCACTCGTTCATCGTCACACATCTCAATCTTTCTCTCCGAGCCTTTGCAAGGTTCGCCGCCATTTTGGGGTCTGCAAAAATACAGACGGGGTTGTTGTAACCTAGTTGTATCTAACCGAAGCAGTTACCTTTGCTTTTTTTAATGTAGCAGTGTTAATTTTTACTGTTTAGTTATATTCTAATCTCGTAATTTCATTCATATCTACGCCAACCTTCCTGTGAAAAGAAGGCACATATTTAGATTAGGCCTCACCAGCTCAGACGCTTTACACGGGATAGATTTAAAAAAAGAAGAAGAGTAATAGTTACGCTCTTACTTAGGATTGTTACACTCCCGTAAGAAGACCGTGTAGCCACTTCCCATCTGTAGACAGTTCGAGAGACACGTAGCGTTGGTAGTGTACAGACTCCAATCGCCGTTAATGACGTCAGGCCCGCTGTCTCCCCACGACGTGCATTTACCTGCACGACACCACTGCAGAGAATAAAAGTTATATATATATATATATTGATATATTGATATATTGATATATTGATATATAATCAATGTATAACATGTGATCAATATATAGTTGATTCGGCTCAACTCGGTACTATTATAATTTAGTCACTCTCGTCCCATCCTCAGTAATTCCTTCGTCCTGATTAAAGCCAATAATTATGGCTTTATATGGCTTTTAATATGGCCAATAATGACTCGCGTGGCTTTTCCGTTTTGGTTTACGGGAATGAATGTGTAAATCATTTGTCTTACGCATCCAATATATATTCAACACCATATTCCTATTTTACATTGTATTTTCGGTAATATATATATATATATTATATGAATATATATTACATATACATATATATATACATATATATATATATATATGTATATGTATATATATAATAATTTATAATATAGTATATATATAAGGAAAATAATGTGATTAAACTGGGAACCTATGTGGTTCAATTTGAATACGCGAGGCTTAATCGAGAATGTATAATCTTTTCGATCGAGCCTGATAAACATGATCACACAGAAGTAGGAACCAGTTTGAAAGTATAAAACAAAGAATACAGATGCATTACCATGAGAAAGCAATGGTGGATGGATGATGAATGGGGGATGGATGGTGATGGTGATGGGATGAGGATGATGGATGGATGGATGGTGATGGGTATGGATGGGATGGGGATGATGGTCGTATGGGATGGATAGGATGTATGGTATCGTATGGGGGATGGTTGTATGGATGGCGAGGGGCTGTATTTTTGAGGATGGGTGGTATGGGATGGAGGGATGGGGGTTGTTATGTGGTATTGGATGAGTGATTGGATGGAGGGCTATGGATGTTAGTATGTGGTATGTATGGGTATGCTATATTTGGGAATGATGGATGCGTTTATAGATGGTTTATCGGATGGAGGGGTGGTTTTTATAATTTTTATTATATATATGTTTGTGGGGGGGGGGTTTTGATGGATGGTCTTGTTGTGATTTGGATGTGTTGTTGGTGTGGGAGTGGGGATGGTATGGGTTTAGATGGGATGGGGAGTGGGTATGTTTATGGATGGGATTGGACTGGGACTGGATGGATAGATGGATGGACTGACGGCCGGACGAAAGAATAGACGGATGGGTGCGTAGGTGGATACGTGAGTATGTGGGTGGGTAAACAGATAGACGGACATGGGTGCATGGATGGATAGATTGAATATATATTGGATGCGTAAGACGGAGGATTTACACATTCATTCCCGTAAACCAAAACGGAAAAGCCACGCGAGTCATTATTGGCCATATTAAAAGCCATATAAAGCCATATTATTGGCTTTCATCAGGACGAGGGAATTACTGAGGATGGGACGAGAGTGACTGAATTATATTATTACCGAGTTGAGCCGAATCAACTATATATTGATCACATGTTATACATTGATTATATTGATATATATCAATATATTTATTACATGTTACACAATGATTATATTAATTTCTATATCGATTAATCATTATCAATCGGATGAGAAGCGGCAGAACATTGGAGGCTGATTTTGGTTAGTTCGCACCTTTTCGTTCCCGCAGTAAGTTCCGTCGAGGGCCGGATGCGCGCCGCGACTCACCAGCGGCAGATCGGGGTCTGAGCACCACAGGATGCGACAGATGTCCTGTAACATAGCGATATGGCGGCAGCTGTAGTCTCGTCGAGCGGGGCGCGAAATTTTTTTCCCCACGAGAGTTCCGGACCACAGTCAATCAGCGCACTTCATTCACTCGACTTCCTCGAAGCAACAATGTAAAATGAATACGCGCTATCCCTAACCCGAACCCTAACACTAACCCTAACCCTAACCCTAACACTATCCCTAACCCGAACCCTAACACTAACTATAATCCAACCATATATATACGAACCATATATTACAAAACACTATTTATGGTGGGTCCGGAACTCTCGTGGGAAAAAAAATTTCGGGGCTCCACGTGAAGCATAGCGCACGTTGACGGATGCGCTGCTTTGTGGTTACCGCAGTCTGTCATGCGCAACAACTACGTGCACGGTACTCGTTACTGCTTACGAGGTGAGACTGTTACTCCAAGAGATATCGGCGAATGGTGCGTTGCATGAGACATTACCATTCTGTGAATATTTAATCACGTGAAATATTGCAGCTCTGTGGATTGCTAGTTGCATGAAACATTGCAGCTCTGTGGATTGCTAGTTGCATAAAACATTTCAACTATGTGGATTGCCAGTTGCATGAAACATTGCAGCTCTGTGGATTGCTAGCTGCATAAAACATTGCAGCTCTTTCTGGACATTTGACTAGCAGACGTATTGTTACACGGGTGAACATCGAACATAGCACAGCGTTAATTCACACCTGCATTCTCCACCACGCAGTATCTTACACCGGTCATACTATACTGAGCAACGCAATGATACGTGTCGATGCCGT